GGCCTCTCAAGACCCGCTTAGGACCTTCCTTTTCATCACGATCGCTTCTCAATGCCCGCCTATTTCCTGGACTTTCATCGCCATCTGTACTGTTAGAACTATTTCTATGGCTTCTCAACGCCCGCTTAGGAACTTCATTTTCATCACGATCACTTCTCAATGCCCGCCTATTTCCTGGACTTTCATCGCCATCTGTACTCTCAGAATTACAGTTACTCTTCTGTTGGCTTGTAAATGCCCGCCCTCTTCCTTCATTTTCACCGCCAGCTGTGCTATCAAAACTATTTTTTTGGCTTCTCAATGCTCTCCCACTTCCTTCATTTTCATCGTCATCAATACTGTCAGAACTGCTATTACTCTTTGTTTGACTCCTCATTACCCGCATATTACCATCCTCTTCATTACGGTCTTCAGTTTTGTGAGGTTTAAGGCTTGTGAATGATACAAGCTCCTGACTGKACAAGATCTTTTGCTTATCATTTTTGCCCTGTTCATTTACTTTCTCTTCTGACATTCCCAACTGATCGGGACTAGCTGCTTTCTGAGTTAATACTTCTGTATTCTGTACTGATGTCGTCTGTTTGATGGAGAAATTCTGCGAGCTCTGTTTTATTTTAGGGTCAGTATCTGCGTCACATCTCACATCATCCTCATAAGACAATTGACTTCGAGTTATTCTCCTTTTTGGTAAGCACTCGGATCCCTCTTGAGCAATGGTTTCGATAGCTTGTGAGTTTCCTTTCACCGCATTTGTTTCACCCATATGTAGATTGTCATCATTCTTGTCTTCGATATCATTATCACATACATCTTTCTTATTTGCTCTCTCCTTGTCGCTGTCTGCTAACAAGTTTTCATTCAATTCTTTATCAACTGAGTCATCCTTCGAATGAACTGTTTCCTTTGTTGGGGTCTGGAAAGGGTTATCGACCTTGTTTTCACTGAAAATAACGCAGAAAATCTACATTATAACACTGTTCTGGTATACTGACATAGAATAAAAAGAATCACTAATAACAAACTTATATATATATATATTTTACAACCACCACTCCCCATGCGGGGCTCTTCCGTGAGGTTCCCTCGACAACTGTGGGAATGAAGTATTGAATGAGGGATTGTGATTGGTTGAGATCAATAATTTACTGATTTTACTCTGATTGGCTAAAGTTGTTGTATCTTTAATTTTGTTCAAGTGTTGAGTGTGTTCGCACAATAAATTTTCAAACAGTAGAAGCAGTACAAACAAGATATCTCAGAGTTTGAAAAAATTCATAATGATAAATTACCTAATTGGTTGGGTATTTTCTGATCTGCTGTATTTCTTCTTGACTCTATCTAAGAATGCATTCAAACTTGGTCCTTGACTGATGAGTTTGTCAAGACTGTCATAGTTGGAGTCACTTCGTGCAAATGCCTTGTGATGATCACTCTTTAAATGCTGTTCAAGTAAGAACAAATGGTAAGTTTAAATTTTTGGTTGTTATTCTTGTTAGCATATAATACATTATTTGTATAATATTTCATAAATGCCTTACTCAAAGGTAATACACCTACTTGCAAGAACGTTGTCATATGAAAATAGAACATTAGTGATTTAGTGGGATAGGAATTATATTAAAAAACAAAAGAAGATCACTGAAGCTAAACTTTTTCTTTTGTCTTTTAGCCTTCTTTTAATGTATTCCTTTCTCACTAAATTACTAATGTTCTAATATCGTATGACAACATTCTTACAAGTAGGTGTATATCTATAATTTCACTATTCAAAGTTATTTAAATATTATTGGATTAAGTGCGTGTGAGAATGTCTCATGGCTCTCTCCCATTGGATAGCAGTCTATATATTAACCACTCCTAAGATAGTTTAATTTAGTTTAGCTTGTAAAAATGTGACTCATCATTCATTTTGTTTTGATATTAATAATTACCAAGAACACATTTTTCATTTTTGTAGCATGTACTTTGACTTACCATATCTAGAGCATCATAGTGCAAACAGCAACACTCACAATAACCTTTTTTGTTCTGCTTCTTGACATCCTGAATATCTTTCTCCTTATTTCTATAAARCAACAAATGTGGACAACTATAAGTATATCATATTATACATGATTAGAAGTTTTTTTCCATTTTAAGCATGTGTTGATATCAATATCCGACAATAGCTTCTGGTCACCATGGTTACACAACAGTAAACAACTATAAAAACTCTGCACACATTATCATACCTCATTCTGATAAAGGCTACCAAAGCATAGGCGAAACGTCAAAAATGTTTTCAATACATTGTGCTTCAAACCGAAAAAAAACTCATGTATAATCTATATGGAACACGAAAGACTCAAGACTACCATTACAAAAAAATGTATAAGTATATCATGTTGCAGTGTAATGACTTCAACCAGGGCCACCTAGATTTTTTCAGCACAGAAACATTTTTTCCCCCAATTATTAACATGCCCTTACCATAAAGATTTGTAAACAATATTAATAAAGAAATCAATTTCTAAATTCCATTTCGATCATAAAACGAGGGCCAAAGTTTTGCTGGCCACTGGCTATAAAGTGCTAAACACATACCCTTTTAAAGCAAAGATTATTTATTTATTTTATTTTGTTTACTTTATTAACCCTCTCCTCAAAGAGAGGCTCAGAGATGCTGCAAACACTTCTATTAAGCTAGCTTAGATATCATATGATTTTAAAAGCTTCTCAGTGACATGTAATCTGTTTTAACTTACTTTCTCTTTAGATCAGGTTCTTTCTTTGTCTTTGGAGAATTAAAAGGGCAGGTTCCAACAGGTGTATTGAAATTTGGTAGAGGCCATTCCTTGAATTCTTTCACAAGTGGCTGATAATGATGACTCTGGTCTTCCACTTTGATGAAAGGGACTTGCAGCTTTCTAATCTCCACTCTCAGTTCCTTTATACAAAACAATTAATGTAAAACAGGTTAAGTACAAAAGAAATGAAAAGTGAAAAGAATAACAGAAGAGGAGAGGGAAGAAAGGGATGGAGCAAGAGCTAAATCCCATCATTAGTGTTTCTAATTGACTACATTAATAAACAGGCTTTGCTTGTTTTCAAATGTCATACTCAATACTCCAGTTTAAAGTTCTCTGCTGCTCAGGGTTAGACTCCATTTTGTATGAAAATATATTAAAAATAAATAAATTTTATTTATTCTATTGAAGGTCTGTGCAAATTCAAACTGTTTGTATTGTTCAAGTCTTTTTTTTTTTATTTTTTATTTTGGTACAGTATTTATGAATACTTTTGTACTGAAAGCAGGCTAACTCTGAGTAAATGAGTCTGTTATCAAGGAACTCTAAGGATCTATTACTGAACTTGCCTTTTTTCCAGATCTCAACTCCTTTATAGAAGGCTGTTTCTCAGCCTTGCTTGGACCATACTCTGCTAACTTTTCTAAGACTTTATCCAGGTGAATAACACTAATACCCCAGGCTTTAGCATTTGTCAGGACATTGCTAGTACCAAATTTAGTGGTAGACATAAGAGTAGCTTGTTTCTGCAATGTTTTCCCTCTAGTGTCATGTTTGGGTACAGTCTGATGAGCATCAATGCTTTGAGGAGAATCTGCACTTATTGGTGATGGCCAGGCTGAGCCTTTTATGGAGGAACTTGATAAAGGAAAATTACAATATAATTTTGTAAAACAGGATTTATATAAAATTAATAAACAACTATTCCAGAGAGGAACATTTAAGTGATTAAAACTCAACTTTCAAGTAATATTTTGTAAAGTTTTGTAATTTTTTATCAATATCACGTCTGGGGCTCAGATTTTTCTGAGTCAGATGTTGTTCCAATCTTCTTTCATAGCTTATTTATAAGTCAGTATTTCTAGTGTCTATCCATCATTTGAAAAATTATGTTCATTCAGGGCATAAATCTAATCCTCGCAAACTGTGGGTGAAATTTTGTATTTAGCGAGTGACAAAAAATTTAACTAGCAACAGTAAGTCTTGCGAGTATGACCAGAGTCCAGAAATTGAAGGACTGAAAACTTTAGAATCTGCATCAAGTAGTGTTTGTTATTCACCACGTCCAATCGCTAGTGACTTTGAAATTTTTGCTAATGAGAACAAGCCTTACTAGCAAAGTTTTGGTAGTGGGTTTAAAAGTTAATTTGGTGCCCTGTTCAGGAGAAATAAAAATCAAACAGAATCACTTAAATTGAATTGAATAAAACACCATTATCAGGACAAAAAAACAGTATTCAAATTTTAAGCCTAACTTTCCCCACCATAACAATAGAATAACAAGAACAAATCAAATTAAGGCTTTTTTTTTTTGCTTGACACTCATAAAATGAATTAAATACCTTTTGTTAATGGGAAACGGACTGGGTATGGACATGCCAGGGCTTGGTGTAGAGTTGCTTCTTGGAGATAACCTTGTGTCTGCATCTTTGCGGTTAGTTATTAAGTAAGTTATATCTTTGTTAAAGAATTCCTCCACTTTCTAGAAGTTGTAATAATAAAACACAAACAATGTAGTTATTACTTACAAAGTGTAGAAGTAACTATCGAATAGCCTCACAATATGAAGCTTGACCTATATGGTAATGTACTTAACCAAGACCCTAACATGTCCTTACATGGTAAGTTGGCTACTTAAGCTGCATGCTAAATGTTGGTTATGTAAAATACTGTAAAGATATCAGTTTACTATAGATTACAAACATGTAGCCTGAACAGGGGCGGATCCAGGATTTTTTCAAAGGGGGGGTTGTASCATTGATTGAGGTACTTGTTTGGCGGGAAAGTAGCACAGGGTTCCCAAACGGAAGTAGGTCTTATGATAATGATTATTTGCTGCACGCAAGCATGGTTGTTTCAGGTCCCACACATGGCGTATAGAGAAAAAAAAGCGAGCGAAATGTGTTTGGCACCCCTCTTTTAATAAAACTTGCGATGCTGTTGGTGTTGTCATGAAAAATAATAATAATAATAATAAATCACGATGGCTCTCATAGGGTAATTTAAAAAGTAATTTTTTGCATAACAACACAATGTATACAATTTAGGCGAAAGGCTGCTGCACTACCACTACACCACCCTTGATTCTCAAAAATAGACCAGTATTACTCAAATATTCTAGTAGTGGAGAACTATTTTCCAAGAGGAATACAAAAAGTACTTTGTTTACTTGGGATCATGACTGCAGTACAAGAAGCGTCTTACCCCTCCAAGTTCCTTAATCCTTGCAGCTAAGCTGGGAATTTTCTTGTAACCATGAAGATCTAGGTAGAACTTTTTGTCTTTCAACGGTTGCTTTGGTTGAAATTCTAGCCTTCTTTTGCCTCTTGGAGCGCTTTCTAGTACGACAATAACGAATCATGAGGCATGTACAAGATATATGATTAAATTATGCCAGAAAAGTCAATTGGACTTAAAAATCCCTTGAATTAAGTGAATTTTCAAGCATTCATTAGAATTTTCGTGGAACAAAACAATATAAAATTTCGCAAAAGCAAACTTTATAAATTTAAATTATAAGCTTAGTTACTACTCTCAAAATAACGTAAAACTTAACTGACAGTAATCTGACTTGGCAATCAAACTAAGACTTTACAAATGTCTTAATAACATTGATTCTAATCAGCTGCACTTACTAAATTTCTTGGAGACATCATTAACTGACGGTGTTTTTGTCCGAAGTCCTTCTCTTCTTGATCCATTGTTATTCGCACCCGGCAAGGACGCTCTTCGAACCATCGACATCTTTAATCCAAAAAAGCTTCACCTCAGAGCACTAAAGTCAAACCAGCCAAGCTCCGATCCATAGACAAGACTAAACCAAAAATTTTTGGGGAATTGTAGAGGAAATCTGCGGTATTGATAGCTATTAGAGCAAGATTATTCCCAGCTGTGTTTGGATCACATTGTTGTGTGTTCTGAAAAACTTTTGCTTCTCGTTGGATTTGCGCGGGATATCCCGTCATGCCTTGCGGGTAACGCTCCGCTGATACAAACTTCAGAATATCGCGGGCGTTTATGAAACTTTTAAATGAAAAAAATATTTTTCTATTTTTTATTGAATTTATATTATTGTACAAGTAGCAAATAACATTAAGTAGTATCTCGTATAAAGAAGCATGAATGTGAATTTGAAAAGTCCGCTGTTTACAGAAAACAAGTATGCGGGATTCCTGTGGTATGAAGTTCTTTAGCTCTCTTGACAAGGCTAGCCTCCTTCGCAGCCTTTCTTAGGGAAACGTTGCGTGACGACCCTAAGAACGGCTGCAAAGGAGGCTATGACAAGGCCGGCTAGAGGATCAAGTATTTTTATAATTCCAAGGTATTTTATCTCTTCAGCAATTATGAATTCTTCTAGATCTGATATTTTTGGAAGTTTTGTTAAATTCTTTCTTCCCTCCAATAAACACACAAAGAAAATTTTCAAGACTGGCTAAATATAAACAATAATTTTTTTATTCAAAGTTTAGACCAACAGAGAAAACTAACAGTATAACTTATTAAGTTTAATAGGGACTTAGTATTAAAACGCTGGGTTTTGATTCAGATAACCTACATAAGGAAGGGCGAATAGACCCCTTGCAGTCTGTTGGATTATGCAGTGCCTCAATTTGGAGGACAAAAACAATAGGTTTCCAATTGCCCTATTTCACTTATGACGTCACTGCTTGTTTATGTGGGGGATAGAATCGCCAAATCCAATAGAAAATTCAACAAAATTTGCTCCTAGTGAAACAGTTTAATCTAAAATGGCCTGGTTTTCAGGTATAATATGTGTTAATATGTACTAAAAAATATTCTGAGAGTTTGCTGGCTATTCTACTTCTCTTCGTGGATTGATACGGGTTTTAGAACAACTTTTGGTGAATTTGCGTTGATTTGACCCCCTCCGACAACCATGATCCTTTGCGTTTAAACAATAGATTGTTTTGATATGACGTCATAGTGAAATAGGGCAATTCTCATGAGATTGAAATTCTTTTGTTTTGTCCTCCACATTGAGCTGCTTTGACATCACATGCAAGTGGTCTATTGACATATTTTCTGTTTATAAAGACATATATGATCATGCCATCAATATGGCTGATGATCGCAATGGCTGACCTAATTATATTACAGGCATGCATGATTGCTACCATTATCATTTAAGTACAACCAGCAACGTTTGATGTCTCATTGGTGTCTCAATTGCTGACTAGCATATCAAGGATCCTCAATCAAAGGACTACAATAGAAAACAACATTTGGGAGATTTTGGGCAGAATGAAAAATTTTAATCCAAAAAACATTTAATTCAGTCCAATATTTCCCCAAAAATATTGTTTTAATTTGTTTATTTTAGTTCTCTGATTGATAGGCATTGAAAAATTTCAATAGACAAGCAAGATTATATGAATCTTCAATTGAGAGTTGCACTTCAATGGTAGAAAGGACGGTAAATGTCATACAATAATTATATTATTGTATTTTCAACACCAAACAACACCAAAAAGTGCTAACTTTGGACGTAACAAATTCATAGCATCTGAACTTACAATATATATTGCTAAAACAATTAATTTTATAAGCAACATATAGAGCATACTATATATATCATGATATCCAAGTTGATGAAGCCATAAATTGGGGATTGCTGCAAGCTCTCCAAGGGACCATTCATTATTTATGGGGTGGGGAACAGGGAAGGGGAAGGGGGGTGGGGGGCAGCGCATGACAACTAATTTAATGAAAGTGTATCGTTCTGCCTAAAAAATAAGAATTCTTAGGACCCCCCTCCCCCTCTCCACTTCCATGTTTTTGTGTGCTTGTGAAAATATTCAAGTGACCGCTTTCTATCCAGGGCTTCAAATAACCACCAGACATCAAACAATGTCTGGCTATCTGGCCAGAACTGGGACTTGTCCGGTCAAAGCTTTGCCTTGCCGGCAATTTTGAGGTAACACTTAATATCCAAAACTAATTTGGCATCATGACTGGTGACTGATCAGCCGTTATTTTAAGCCCTGCTATCTCATATATCTTTTGACTAGCTCCCAATTTTCTACGTAAATTTTATGGGAGCCCCCCCCCCCCCCCCCCCCCCCCCCCCCATTCTTCACCCCCAGGCATGAATAATAAATGGTCTCTGATATTACATCACACAAATTATTGCTCTCAACTTTGTGTATATAAATACTAGGTCAGGTTGATTTGTACCTATAGTCTCCTACACAGCTGCTATTAGCATCGTCATGCAATGTTTGTCATCTTTTCTGTATGTGTGTGAATGTATGTAATGCACTATGTATGTGAGTAGACTGTATTCTACTGTGTTATCTTTTACCGAATAAAAAGTACTTTGATGGTCAACCACRGAACCTCTTTGACCTCCATGGCCTACATAAAATTTATTTATGATAAACTACATTAATTACCTTGTAAAATATTTCTGGTTTAAATAATTCTCAGGGATAATACATGATGCACTGTATGATGTGCACTCAGAATAACAGTATATAAAATGGATAAATTTTGTACGAAAAAGTATGTTTGGAATGTAAAATCTTTGTATTTCATATTGTGATCACCTTATTAAAATATCAACACTATATATATAACTTAGATTAATATAAATTTAAAGTTAAATTTAAAAGAACGCAGGACAGGTGTGTTCAATGATACAATTTCTACAGTACTCTCTGATGAAAGCCAAAGTCTCGAAACTTACATTGCACTCCTGGACATTAAGATATTGCAAGTGACAGCATTGTGCTGCAATGCTCTTGATGCCATTATCAGATGTTTTGTCACAACCTTTGATGCTCAGTTTCTTCAGCTGTGGACAGTGGATTCCTATTGTGTTCATCACACTGTCAGTTATGTCGCACTTTCCAATATCCAAGGATCTCAGCTTCAGACAATTCTGAACCACATATGCAATACCAGCATCGGTTAAAGCTTCACAGCCTCTCACATTTAAATACTTCAACCTCACACAGTATCGTCCAAGGTACTTGATCCCAGTATCACTTACTGAGCACTTAGATACACTTAGGTATTTTAGCCCCGGGATGTTTCTGGCTATTTCTTTGAGACTAAAGTCTCTTATTTTGAAGCAGTCACTTGTGCTGAGTTCCTTGAGACGACGACATTGATTCGCAACATGCTTCATGCCTACATCAGTGATGCGACTACATCTTCTAAGATACAGACTCTCCAGTAAACCACAACTAAGACCAATAGTTCTCAACCCAAAATCGTCAAATGCAACACAGTCACTTAGATCCAAATGCCGAAGATTAAGGAAAGAGCCGTGATCTCCCATGGAAAATCCATTTGAGCTTGGAACACTTATGGTGTTAATGCATGTACAACCACTGAGATTAAGGCGATATAGATTATGACAGTTCAGCAAGACATCCTGAAGTCCTTTACTTGTTACACAACAGCATCCACTGATTTCTAACTCTTCCAAATCAATACAATACCTTGCGATGAACCCCAAACCTTTGTCTGATACCAGTTCACTCCCATTAAGCTTGACACGACGAACCATTAAACAGTACCCTTGGGTGCTCATAGCCAGAGTTGCAAGCAAATTTCTTAAAATCCTGTTAATGTCACTTTCTTCATAATGTGTAATTTCAATGGTGTTCCAAAGAATAGGATCCCAAGCAAGACTCTGCCATTTCTGACAAACACCTGATACCTTACACAATTCAAGAGTGCCTAGAAAAGAAAATATTTGAAGCAATAGACCATCTTGTAGGTTATTAATATGCCCAATGTTTGAAGCAGAAAACCGGGTTACTGATGACATTCCTTCCCCAAAGAGACTCTGATCACTAATAGTTGTTGAATCGCTGTCATATCGGACATGTAAGTGTTGTTTTGAAGTCTCCTGTTTCATACTTTCATATTCTTTGACTTTTCGTCTCAAGTGAGCCTGAAGAGAGTTGTTCCTCGATATCTTCTTACCTTCATCTATGGAGCTGTCTTGGTTGGCATAACTTGAATCTGCATAATAACCAAGAGCAGAATCAGGGGATTCATAACCTTGAGGTTGATGAATAGACCCATTTACTTGTGAAGTTCTTTCTGGATGTAAATGACCCTCTATTTGATTTAAGGGAAAGTTTATGTGAGTTGAACTGCTTGGTGAAGTCAGATCAGTAAAAGACAATGAAGATGCACTTTGCATGCTATCAGTGTCTGTGAGTGACCAATGATTTCCATTTTGTGGATGTACTCCCCTATTTATTTCCTCTACACTTCTTCTATTCCTTGCAGGTAATTGTTGCTTTATTGCATATTTACCAGTAGCACGTGGTGCCAACCTTTCCTCTGGAGACAAATTAGTTGGTGCTAATTGTTGCTTTACTGTATATTTACCAGTGACACCAGGTTTCAACCTTTCTTCTGGTGACAAATTAGTTTTATTGGGTTGTCTTTTCTTATATTTTCTTTGCAAAGTAAAGGTCCCAAAATCATCAACTAAATCAGGTGTGATATCAGGTTGTACGTCATGTTTATAATTGCTCTCATTCAGTTTGGTCATGCTCCTACGTGGTGTAGAATGCAAAGACTGCATGGACTTTGAATTTAAGGAATCATTTCCTATAATAAATGTCCCTTTTGCTTTTGGCGGACTCAATTTTCCCCATGTAGCATTGCCTGAAGATCCTTCAGCTGCATATCCATGTCTTTTCGAATCAGATTCCATGTTAATTTGTTCATGAGAAGTATTCATACCCTTTGTAGCATATGTAGCCCTTAAATTGCCTGGAGTTCGGGTGCAAACAACAGGTTTGCTTCTATGAACACCAGATGGTCCATTTTGAGATACTTTTATTGGTTTTCCATCACCATCATTGCTAGAGAAAGCCACTCTACCATTAGGGCRAGAATTGCTTAAAAAAGCTGGCACTTCAAGTTCTGAATGAGGAATAAGCAGCCCTTTTTTAGTTGATTCATTTCCCTGCTGCAAAATAACTTGATCCGGATCTCCAAGACGTCTTTGTACAACTGGAGATTGGCCTCTAATTTTGTCTACCGGTACTTGATTTTCTTGCAACAATTCAGGAATATCAAATGCTACTCTAGGGTGATTTCCCGCACTTCTGCTAGGTCTGGAAGAACCACTGTCGTTAGCAATTTGTTCGTTTGAACCATTGTTATTTCCTGGCAGGTTCTTTACTGGATACTTCCCAGATCTTGGACTTTGATGCCTCCCATTTGTAGGAACTATAGAGTAAAATACAGTGATATATAAATATTAGAAGCGTTGAAAGTCCAATTATGTATTGTGATGGCCTTTGTACATGTAATCAATCTATAATATTCCAATTATTCTCAATAACATATGACTAATCAATAAATATAATAAGGATCCTGACAAGCAGCCCATCGTTTTTGGCAGAATGTTGGCTATTGGTGTGTCTAAAAATCAGAATGACAAACTCAAATCACATCTAAAAATCGCATTCCAACATTATTGGCAGACCATGGAAAATAGTTGCAACAAATGTTAGGTCAAATTTTGGGCCATTTGCCACAGCCCTAAAGCAGTCTTTTAAAATAGAGACAACTTTTACTGATAATCATCAATGTGAAATCTAAAACAGGCTCAATTTGAGTGGAATATTTTGGCAGCATTATTTTGAAAAAAATCCTTGCAAAAACTGTTTAATTTGATGACAGAAAATGCCAAATATAACTAACTAATCAGTGTTAATGAACATGTTTTGAATAAACAGTAGGATTGCTTCTTAAACATGTAAATCATAAATTTAATTATCAGACAAGAGATGTAGAAATGAAAATCAAACACTAAAAATCCAAATATAAAGTTTAGGTTGTCAACTGTACATTGTAATGGTTAACAATTGCTGAAATATTCTAACAGACATATAATCTGTAACATATTCCATGAATGTTGCAAAATATGGTCACATCACATTTTTACTCATGTGGTAAGTTTTGTGATTRTCGTGCTTATCCTTTTCTGTTATTGACCTCTTGATAACTTTTCTTATGGTTGAAGTTGGCTCTCGATCCATAGCAGATGCCAGTATTCATAAGATAAGATACAACACTGTAACAAGAACCTAAATAATTTTATAGGGCAAACTAATTCTACATACAACTTTTAATTTTTATTTGAAAATATYAAAATACTTCTAATAAAAATATTATTGTAAATAAATTAAATCTTATACTATGTTGGGGCCTTAATTATGCAACCCATGAACTGATGATGATGATGACATCATTTGACGTCTAAAAAGAACTAATTTGTATAATTAGGTGTTTGTTTTATTATCAGAACATGTCAGAGAAAGTTTCTGTTATTTCAATAGTCATGCTCGATGGAACTACGTGTTGGAACAGCAGCTTCAGAGGTCAACCTGGCCTCGAGCATTAAATCTTATCCAGTATTTATAAATAATGTCACACTGTTCACAAACTAGATGTATGACTATTCAATTAAATCGAAGGCAATTATCAGTGTTACAAGATGAAAGCCAGACATATTATAAACAGAAGAACTTTGGAAAAAATATGGAAATATATTAATACAGGTTTTTGAAAAATAAAGAATGTTGAATACACTGCTATGGCAACAACGACGTGTTATATTATTTGATCGATTAAGAAAACTTATTATTTTTGGCATCATTTGTATAACATAAAATAAAAACAGCTTTTAAGTGTAAATATTGACTCTTGTGCACTTGAAATCCTAATTATTGCCACAGACATCAACAGTTTTTTTTTCTTAATAAGTAAAAATAACTTTAAATATTTCCTCAAACGCGTCTTTAGAACGTGTTGAAACCGTTCAAAAATACATGCTAGAATCCCAAATGTACATAACGTTTGTACTGATCTATTTTTAAAGGAGCGATTAGGGCTTTAACGACAAAATCCTTCAAGCCCCCCCGATTGGTGTTAGCCAATTTTCTTCAACTAATGGTTTATTTAAAGAAAGATAGTGCAAACACAGGGCTCATGTATATATCAAGCTAGAGGCTTTGTGGCTTTATGTATGAGACAATGTGGGCAAATCCGTAGGAAATAAACTAAACATAGGATGTTTTGAGTTTAGGATTGATTAGTCTTATCCAGAAAGATCAGAATTCGGTGAAAGAAGTATTCTCTGTGACAAAACAGTGTTAAAATGTCAATCAAGGCGAGACCTGAGAAGTGCTAAAGGCGTGCATACAGATTATCTCGTTTGCCGTTCTCAAATGGGATGTATTAATTAAAATTCAAACATCGTGTGAAGACTTTTGGCGTTTCTAAAAATAAATCCAATCGACTTTTCAGCTTTATTAATTATTACTTTATCAGTACCTCATATGAAAATCTGGTAGCATACTTATTCCTTATACGACAAAAATACTTTTATTCGAGAGCGCTTTAGCTTTCCTTATCGTTACTCCGTCTAAACAACGCGGTACACAATATATCTGACTTCTCAGAACGTCCACAAATAGATCTCTCAAGACTTGTGTACATTAGGCTTTACTTCGTTTACTTTTAAGCTTCGTATTTGCGGAATGGATGAAAAGATGAGTGTTAAAATACTTCTTTGATCTAAAGCATAACAAGAAARGTTTCCAGCTTATACAACCTAGCGGTCGAGCAAAAACAATGAAGGCGAATACCAAAGACTTTAATTTGTACCGACTTTATTTAACGACCTTTCTCTTGACACTCATAGAACGATATACGCCTTTAAGAACTCATATATTGATAAAGTTTAGATCCTTCATGTAAATTGTGTTCTCTTATTTCTAATAAAAGTCTGAAAGAAGTAGTTTTCTCGCTTCTAAAGTGGTACATTAGTAATCATTGTAGTGAAGCGCGACTTGACTTGTGGCAAACATTGACTGAGAATTTTAGTAGAAATTACCGAATTTACCTGGCAAAGATCTCCCTTGATTGTTCCCCATAACTCCATCAAATCACTGGATATGCATTTTACTTCAAATCCATCATCTTTTCAACGTTGAATAAATTTTTTTCCGTAGACTATAATTTGAGTGTCGCTTGTCAGATCGTATACGTCACAGCCTGTTAGCAGAAAACAATTAGGGTCTATTTGAATGGAAAATGGTTCCTGGAGATTATTAGTAGCTTAGCTAGTATGCGAGACCAGAAAAACTGGAATAAACTTCTAAGACTAACAAATGATAATTCCTTATATTTTATTAAATTTCAAACGAAATGTAAGGTTCATTTGAATTTTATATTCTAGGAAAATAAATAAAAGTCTGCCTCACGCTGTGTTGTGTCTAAGAGTTCTAACGCTGATTGTTTATATTCATTTTATACTTGGTCGGTTTTCTTTGTTTAGCCATAAGTTTTGTGAAAATAAGGCCACGATCCTTAAAATTTACTATTGAAAACCACGTATCATCAACGACTTTTAGTGTTGGTTAAAATAAAGTTGGAATATAGTTGCTTAAGGGCACGTTGGCCCATATGGTACATGCAAATTTTGCTACTTATTTTGGTTTTTAGYTTTCTTTTAGATAATCAATATTAAAGAAAATGAGATGCAGAACGAACAAATTTGAAGTTCCCTGAAAGACTTGAATAATAAAAGTTCGAGTTGCCAACACGAAATTTCGGGCTTTCATAAAATTTCGAGTTGCTCACGAAATTTCATCCAACACTTTTCCGCTAACAACAAGCAAGTGTGCACTAGCTAGCTATGGAGGCGGTAGAAGCAGAGTCAGGGTCAGGGGGAATCTGATATGAATGACATCCCCGATGACAAACAGTATAAGGTGTTCAAGTCATCCATATTACAGCGAATGAGATAGCATTTATTCAGTAGGATTTTTGTCCTGATCTTAAAGGTATATAATGATCAGTTTTACTACTGCTTTATTATATATTCTTACGAACTGGAACATTTAAAAATAACTATTCTAAGCATCGCCACATTTACCGTAATACATGATGATGTAGGTCACCCCACCCTGAAATTTTTATCTCGAAATTTTGTGTTGGCATCTCGAAATATTTGCCTTGACAACTTGAAATTCCTTGTCGTGACAACTGAAAATTTTGAGTTGGGAAATCAAAAAAATTCAGAAACTTTCTGAAATAAAGCAAAATTTGCATGTCTCTTATTGGGCCAGCGTATTCATGTGGCCTGCTGAGTTTGTTTTGAAAATTTTAATTGGAGTGCGCGTCCATTTGATGATTCGTTGGGGACATGGCCCGGGGGTAGGGGTGGACTATACGGGGATGATCCAAAAGGGTATGGTTGTTCGAGCTTCTTGTCATAAACAGGGTATGCAATTTCTCTCAAGTTCCAAGTTCTTCCTGAGTTTCCTGTCATATTCAGGGTTTCTA